CTCCGCGAACAAGATCAACACAAAACGCTGGACTATAATAATCAGTTAAGCATGACTAAGATTTCTCCTTCATGGGCAAATTATTGCCTCTCTTAAAATTCATGTAAACAGACAACTATTTATTTAATAATACTGAAAGCGCAATAAGCGGGCGAAAATAAGCTCGATGTTATAAAATGCGCATAAATATTAAATTTCCCTTTCCAGTGGAGAACATGATTTTCAGTCTGATATAGAAGTTAATTAAAGATTCATATTGTCTTATCAAATGTATATCTCGAGGATTTAATGGATTTGTTGATCCATATGATATGATAGCATCTTTTTCAGAGAAAATGTTGTCAAGTATATTGCGTTCTCCAGGCGCGTAAATCATTCCTTATCAAAATGAAGACAAGAAATGGATTCTAATATGCACAAGGACCGACGATAGATAGGCGTAAAATGCAGTGAATTATATTCACTCCCAGGAGGGGGGGGGGTATTTCCCAAAGTTAAAATTTCAGCCTCGTAGGACCATGTAAGGGAAGCCCCTGATACCAAGTAATACCAAATAATAACCCAGATGCGAGTAGAAATAATCTTGATTTACGTCATTAAAAATTCAAAATTCAGTCAAAGTAATATCATATTTGAAATCTACATGTAAAATTACATCTAGAAATGTGGTTTTAAAAAGTGTTTATCAACTTTGAAAAATTAATTTTCTTTAAAAATGTGACTTCTAGCTCGGGGAGATTCCCCATAGACCCCATGCTATAAAATCACAAAAAATGAAATATCTTTTCTTTTAGTGGACAGATAATATTTTGCTTTACTGGACATATTTTCATTAGTATAAGTATCAGACACATAAGGGTTATATGAAAATAGAGCCACTTAAATTGATAATATTCAAGTTTAAGGGAACTTTCTTATATACCTGCCATGTTAATTGACCCGAATCAGCCACCTGGTGGTGAAACTGGTAACTACCTACTCGCATTTGGGTAATTAATATGGATGCTACTCACTTCTTCTGCTCCCCGTCAATTAGTTCGACAACCGGAAGTTCCTTTCTGAATCACTTTAGTTTAACCACTACTTTTCAATGAAGACATGCAAAGCCCCGGGGCCCGGATGACATTGTCGTTTCATTTCGTTTGGTGCACATACCGAGGCCCGGGGAATTAAATAAGCCCTTGGTTGGAACAACTGAAACCTTGTGAATCAGGATCCAAAAGACATCAAAGTCATAAATATCAAAATTATTGTATTTAGAAGAACGAAATAAAGATAATGTGCTATCCAATGAAAATTCCAGGTTGCCAAACTTATGGCGGGGAGTGTACATTTTTCTGTACATCGCTTCATGAATCTCACTGACGTATAGATTCCTTTATTTATTTCTCAATCAAACAGATATCTTCTAACATGCGACAACAATTATAAATAGAAAAATTGATAGTTTTTTCGTTATTGTACAAGGTGGCCCAGAACGGCACTTTTCGCATAAAAGTGAAATTGTTTTCCAAAAAGTAAATGTTTGAAGTAAAATTTGAATACACCTGCACAGCTTTGGTATAGAGACAAGTCGATGATATAACGGCTTTGGAAAAAACATAAGAAGCATACACATCAGTTTACAACGATTTCCTTTGTAATAAGTATTACTCATTGGCTACAAATTCCAATGTTTTAAAATGAAAAAGAAACATAATATTAGCATGTATTCGCGAATGCAACTCTCGGCTGTCGGATATTGAATTAACCTACTATTTTATGGGCAACTCATTTATCTAAATGTGAATAGTACCTGCCACTATTCCATTCATATTAAAATGAGTTGGTCATAAAATAGTAGGTCAATCCGTTAGCCGACAGCCTAAAATTGCATTCGCGAATACAAGCTAAGTAACAACTGTTTTTGAAAGCGGCGTTTATTTGGCCCACCCTGTAGTATTTTGAACTTTTAATGGACAATCGATACCCAATTTCAAACCAATTGAGAAGGAAGTGCAAAGCGAACTGACATCATTTCCGTTGCTATACACTGGTGGATACAGGGTGGGTGGGGGGGCATGGGGCCTCAATTAGCGAGCCTTATTTTTTACTTTGGGTCAAATTATTAAAATATTGGCCTTAAATTTTCAAAATTTGGCATTGTTTTGCTTCTGGATCCACCAGTGCAATATCTGATATTTAGAATTGAAAAAGACTAAAACGTTCATTGAATTGAAACTAAGCGTAAAACTTTTGCGTGTTGCAAAAGTGAAAATATATTCACTTCGGTGTCCCCAGGGGATAAATTCCAAATTCCATCCACTATAGCAAATAATTTTGGTGAATAAGCCATAATAATTCAAATGTATTGACGCATTGCCGTCTGTCATTGCTATTCATATGTCAAATTAACCCAACTGAAATGAACCATTAGGTTCCCCTTGGGCCGCATTTCTTTTGTTATTCACGCTTTATACTACCTCCATCGGCCATTGGTCACTGTGCATCACTCGGTTGCACGATTGATCGATTAAACAGTGCAAAAACATCGATGTTAGCTTCCGTTGGATTTATTTTGGGATGTTTACATTGTTTGCTGGGGTTGACTATTTTTGGCTAAAGTATACATACTTATTCTAAAGGTTTCGTATTGCTACTGAATTGTTCTAAAAATAGAAATTGAGGAACTTTTTAACGGCGGAACCTCATCCGTTTCGCAACACAGTCGGTCGGTCGATCGTGTACTGATACATTGTGAAAATTATTATACACTGCCGTAAATAGTGAATGAAACCTTTCTCTTCGCCGAGTCAAGTTATATTAATTTGCTATTTGATTGACCATTTGTTTAGATGATTTTACTGATTTCGTTGTTCAAAATGCATGATTTCATGGTTGGATGAAGATGAACTGCGTAACAACATGTTTAAAACTTTATGTTTGTATGCCCGCGTTGCTAGTGAATTGCATAATGTTGCATAATGTTTTAATGAGGTTTCTCCCCAGGTATCACTAAATGCCTGGGTCAAATTTGCTCCAATTCATCGACCGGCGCCCGGCCGATTGAGTATATTGTTTAAAATTGTATTCAGTTTTGAACAACATACTTGATCGGCCGGGCGCCGGCAGATGAGTCGCAGCAAATGTGACCTAGGCATAAATAGAGCAATAAGCCCTGTAGTGCTCATTACATGCTCGTGTGTTTTCAACAAAAAAGCTCATCCAAGCGCACTTACACTCACATAATTATATTGAAAGACGGTTCATTGCAATCGATCTCATGTGGTGCACTAGAAACAGCCGACGCGGTTGACTCACGCGTTGCCAAAGCGTATTTAGCGATTTAAGTGCGCTTGGATGAACTGCTTTTGTTAAAAACGTGTGAGCAAGTTCTTTTTCGTGATACCTAGGATGAATACTAAATGTATATCATGCAATGCACTCGCCCGCGGGCAGTTCAAAAACGCAGCCTAAAACTTACATCGTGTATTTAGAAAACTTCCGAGAAACAATCGAATGGTGTACCATGGGATAAAAGCGAATTACTAATGCATATGAATTTCATCCCTCGTTCGATATCATAAGCCGAAGGGACAATTAAATCTGTATAATCAGCCGTATATGTTTGTACTCGCGATTTAAAAATAAATCGCGATAGAAGGAGGAGCACTCACGATGTTTATCTTTGGCTTGACAAAATATTTTCTTTCATAGCGGACAAAAGGTTATAAAAACGAATTAGTAGCGGAACAATGTTATTTCTATTAAAGCAAGGCTTGGTGACAGGTCTAATATTAAATCTTGTAAATTACTTATCTACAGTGTGTGATGAGCTTACGTGGATATTTTCAGACATTTTATAAAGACAGAGTGCCCTATCATAAAACGAGAACAGGAGCTGTCGTTTTTGCGAAAATAATATCATTTTTGATGGAAATTGTTAATTAATATTTCAAGAAATTTCTTAACTTCTTTATGTCTTGATAGCTGGGAATTCGAAAGAACACGAGTCAATACCACGAGTCATATTGACTCGACTGATATACGAGTATTTCCAAATAGGCAGTCCTACCATGTTAGAAAATGACGTCTACAAGTGAAGTTAATGATATTTTTCGTTTTTACAGTTTATAGCTGCTAAAGATTTACGTTCATCGGTTGAATAGAGTTAACGATGCTATTTTTGATGATCATAGTCACATGTGAATAGGTAAAGATAAGCGAACGTCTTGGAGTGATTTTTACTTGTAAAATCTTTTTTTCAGAAACATAAAAACTCTGGTCCTTGCATAACAACAATTACTCTCGTACTTGCATTATTAAGATTTATTTGTACTGATGCCCTTCTAGGCAAACATACATCCAACATACACTTTTCATAAACAGTAAAAATAGCAATAAAGTAAATAAAATAGGATTACATTATCTTCAAATGACATATAAAATATTACTTCATAGATTATGCCCGCATGTAATACACATTTTCACACAGATGGACAAATATCCCTTATCTAGATTCAACACTTCTTGTATTGTTCAAACGTTTTTTTGGTCGAAAAGCACAGACTTCCGATTTGGGAATTTAGGCAATGGCGCTCTTCAATTTGATTCCGTCGTGGAGAAAACAATTCAGATGGCTACAATAGTTCAGTAGTTCATTTTTGATAAAAACATATTACTTTATTAAACGTACATAATGTTGAGGTCTTAATTCTTAAAAAAACATTTGAATGTTTTGATCCTCCAGGTGCAAAGGAAGGCAGGATAAAGTTTTCTATTGAACTAACTTTTTGATTTTAACCTTACCAATCAACCAACCAACCAATACAATACAAGTACACATACTGCAATTGATACATATTCAAAAATAAAAATGAGACAATACAAAATATCTGTTGGTCCTTACTTAAAGTCATGAAAACGAAATTGTGAATATATCCATGAATGTTAAGAGGAATCGCCAATAATTTTTAATTTTCCAAACCTTTTGTCAACTGCTTTAGAATGATTTAACTCACCTCCTTGGTTTGGTCTCAATCGGCCATCGTAGTTTGATAAAAGCGTGTCCAGTAAATGCGTGATATTCCTGGCTCGGTCTGTCGTATTAAACCCCTGTGCCATAGAGATAAACACGGCCATCCATAGCCCCAACATTTCACCGAGAACGCCAACTCCGTACATTTCCTCAAAATCAAGTTACTTTTTTATTTGAAATCAAATCCAAAACCAATCTCTCAGCTTATTCAATAGTTTCCTGTCGCATCTAAATTGACGAATACTGTTCCGTTGTGCAGTTTTTAAATCGAATGTGCGCCTGCTTGATTTTTCCAGTGGAGTAAATTTTCAGGATTCCCAATATACCTGCAGCACAGCTCGTTTTAATTCAGCTCATGAGGATCTGATTCTTCCACACTTATTACTTCATCGCAGTGTATCAACTTTCCTTTAAAGGGCGAACCTCAATATCTCCTTCCAATAAGTATCGTATCCAATAAAGCATTAATATTCATCCGAAATATCATCCCGTGAATATCTAATAGATTATTTCATTACTGAAATCTGGATATATCATATGAGGATATTTTAACCGAGTCAACTATCGCAAACTGTGTATATGCGCTGTGCCTCGACAATATGTCAGTTGTTAAATTGAATTATGAATAACGGTATGCGGAATGAATGAAAGGAATGCTCCCAATATATAATTATACTCCCTTCTGAGGTAATAATGAAAATACGAGGGTATATCATGAAGTTTTCATAATATCTCTCTATTTTTATGAGAACTTTATGATAAACCCTCGTATTCATCAATCTCACTTTGGAAACTATCATTTTCCTGATACATTTAATTACATTTTATTTGACTAAGTTTGGCAACAATGACTCTAATTGAACAACCTATTAAAATTTGTTTATGTAAATGATTAATTTTTATGTCACCACCAAAAGTGGTGACATATTGTTATGGTCTCCGCTTTTTTTGTGACGGCGGTTGGTGGTTGGAGGTTGGCGTCCGGCGTCCGGCGTCCGGCGTCCGGCGTCTGTAACAATTTCTTACAACTTCCTATAACTTTACAAATACTGTTTAGACGGACTTCAATTTTTTTCTAAATCATCTACATGTTCTCAGAAGTTCAAATCTGACTTTAGATTTGACATTTGACCTTCAATGACCTTCTCAAGGTCAAAAAGGTCTTTTTTCAACTTGCTTCACATTGACTAAATTTTTTTCAAAATCATCTACATGTTCTCAGAAATTCAAATCTGACTTTAGATTTGACTTTAGATTTGACATTTGACCTTCAAATCTGACTTTAGATTTGACATTTGGCCTTCAATGACCTTCTCAAGGTCAAAAAAGGTCAAAAAGGTCTGTTTTCAACTTGCTTCAAATTGACTAAAATTTTTTTTCAAAATCATCTACGTGTTCTCAGAAATTCAAATCTGACTTAAGATTTGACTTAAGATTTGACATTTGACCTTCAATGACCTTCTCAAGGTCAAAAAAGGTCAAAAAGGTCTGTTTTCAACTTGCTTCAAATTGACTAAATTTTTTTTTCAAAATCATCTACGTGTTCTCAGAAATGACATTTGACCTTCAATGACCTTCTCAAAGTCAAAAAAGGTCAAAAAGGTCTTTTTTCAACTTGCTTCAAATTGACTAAATTCTTTTTTCAAAATCATCTACATGTTCTCAGAAATTCAAATCTGACTTTAGATTTGACATTTGACCTTCAATGACCTTCTCAATGTCAAAAAAGGTCAAAAAGGTATTTTTTCATCTTGCTTCAAATTGACTAAATTTTTTTTTCAAAATCATCTACATGTTCTCAGAAATTCAAATATGACTTTAGATTTGACATTTTACCTTCAATGACCTTCTCAAGGTCAAAAAGGTCTTTTTTCAACTTGCTTCAAATTGACTAATTTTTTTTTTCAAAATCATCTACATGTTCTCAGAAATTCAAATCTGACTCTAGATTTGACATTTCACCTTTAATGACCTTCTCAAGGTCAAAAAAGGTCAAAAAGGTCTGTTTTCAACTTGCTTCAAATTGACCTTTAGGTGGTGACATTTTGTCATGTTAATGCCTTGTTTTCTCAATTGCATTAGATTGGAAATTTATTCATTTTTATGACTGATGGTTTGTAAAAACGCCAATCATTAACAGACTCAAAGAAGGCTTTGGTCCAATAAGATAATTGGTGTTGCCAAACTTTTGGAGGGGAGTTTATTTCGATATTGATTTCAGGGGGATTAACCCCAGAGTTCAAAGATGACCTACTCGTATGATGTAAACCTGTATTGAGATGACAAACGTCTCTGATTGGCCAAAATCGACAAACAAAATGGCGGCCTAAAAATTTACCTACGTCAATATTAAAACATCACATCGAAATGTAGTATTTGGAAACTAGCCGGTGAAAATTCGAATAAACGAAGGTGGTAAGCAAAATACGTAGGATTATGTTTGTTATCTCCAAAGCTCTGGGGCTTACTCCTATAGCCTATAGAATATTAAAAGTGAAGTGTTTCCAAACTTATGATTTGCAGTGTTCAATATAATAACGTATCCATTTCACGTTCACAGCTGATCTATTTTGATATAACAAGGAGCAACTGAATGATTTTATAATATTGAATTTAGGTCAATACCAATTGTGAATAGCCCTCCACTCTAACCAGTAGAGTATGTTATCTTTATTCGTTTCATTGACTACGTGGAAAAAGTTTCAATTCAACATGAAATTTAACTGCTTTGAGATTCTGTTAGTCTATCGATAATCTGGAACTGTTTGATCTGAATCAGATGTGAGTTGATTGCGTGCAGTGTATCATTTGCTGGCCATTCTTTTTTTCTTCCCGCGGTTTAAATATCGTCTGCTAAAGATTTCCTCCCGCCCTTTCTCTGTAAAATTTGAAAGAAGTTCCTGATTTTCTTGCATTTTTATACAATTTAGAGTATCGGGTTTATGCATTTTATTTTATTCCCTGTTAAAATTCTCTATTGTTCACCCTAGTTTGCATTTTAAAACGTGACTGCCTCAATTTTTATTACGAGAAAGAAGTAAGCGTATTTGTCTTCAGTGTCCCTTGTTGGTTATTTTAGGATGTTATAATACTTCCTTACTATCACCAAAGTGGCCGTAAAAGTAATGAAAATAAATTTACGACTAAGAGGACACTAATACGTTAATGAATATTAGATCTTGCCACGAAACAAGGCAAAATACGCAATAACAACCTGTGGCGTGGTCACTTTGTTTTATCTAGCGAGGCAAATGTGAATACAGTCAACGCTAGGAGCTGCTAGCTTTGCATTATCCTGTCAGCATGGACATTTTTGCAAATGTTTCATTTTATTAAATATATAGTATAGCAGGAATCGTAAATATTGCAAAGCAGAAATCATGAAAATTGGTCATATTATATTTTATTTGCTATTTACGTATTTGTTTATTTTGTCCATTCACTTTGAGATTTTTACCACGATGGACCAGAACTTTAGTGAATACAATAGATCTTACAAGTTCTTTTTAACCAAAATTAAACGTTCTAAACTCTTGTGAATAAGACGCTAGATGGTCAAATTGTATAGTGTATGAATTTGGTTGTATGCGATTAACGCAGGTTAGTGGCCATTTTGATTTTATAAGCTTTAAATTATACCATTCATTTGAAAGGCGATATCCTATTAATTATATCTCGAATAACTTCCATTTACATAAAAAGAATTCATTGTAGATTTATAGACATACGCATGATCGGCCACCACTCAGCATTGATCTGCGTTCTGATTCACACATCCGTGTCTTTTGGCGTTACGTCCGCTGTTCTGATACAACCACACTCAGGAAACAATCGAACGCTTGGAGCGTCACATTCCTAAATACTTGAAAGGTCCCTAACCGAGAATATTACACATTTGTAAAAGGATCTATAGAGACATTCCTACATGTATGTCACCTTGGACTTTAATCATTTCATTCAACTTGTTCTTCTGAGAGAAAATATGAACCACTTCAAGGCTAACAGTATAAAACACACCTAAACAGGCGTGTATATTTTTACCTGGCAGTAAGATTTTAACCAAGTCATAAACTGAATGATTTTAAGCATCTATGTTTGATAAACATAAGATCGTAGTCTTGCTTAAAAGACCCTGTACTCCCCCCCCCCTTATCCTTCTCTCTATATGGTGAAGAGAGTGAAGGTGACGGGGGGGGGGGTGGATACAGTCTTTGAGCAAGACTGATAAGATCGGTGATATATCGTTTCAATATCGCCTTAGTATGTACGTATTAATGTATCACCGGCACGAGGCTGTAAATTGCTAGATTATTACGCATACCCCACTGAGCAAACTAGCCTGCTGCCTGTTTAACCTGTGAGAATAATGGACGCGTTGAATGGCCCTACTTTTCATGTAAATACCTTTAAATGAGAAGTAAAATATTTATACTAGGAATATTGTAGGCACACGTATCAACGGTAAAGTACAAAAAATGGTTACTGAAAAAAAAGAAGGAAAACATCTAAGAGTACACCATCATAAGGAAAACAAACCCCAACTACCCCAAATTATGATCCAACGTGAAAAGAAACAAAGTCTAATACCCCCTCCCCCACCATTCAAGTACCAATATCACAATCAGAGACCATAACACCAAGGGACATTTCATGAGGCGATAATGGTAAAAAATAAGGAATTTGAATTGTAATCTATAATTCGTGTAGAAATACCAGAAAATGTACTATTTGTTATCAATTAAAGTTGTATCGAAGGATAGGGTGTAAACTTTTTGGATCTGTTTACAAAATTTACCGTCCATGTTTTCCTTATACAATACTTTTAAAATCTAAAAAAGATTTGAGGTATCTGCTCAAAAATGGAAGTTATTGAAGATTTCAAATACAGAAATGCCTTTATTCATTCGAATTGAAAAAGGGGAGAATTTTGACTCATTTTTAAATTTAAAGTTACGACAAGGCGTGTTCATCATTGATCAAACCCTCGTATATTGTTCATTTAAAGGGTACTTTACATCGGATCGTCTATATTCTTTGTTGCAGCTTTAATTATTTAGTTTTTGGTGAAAAGTGATAGCTAGATGACGAAACGTTCTTAGTAATAATTTATTGTGTGCAGATCACTACCCACTGTGCAGACTTGCGGCTACCTCATAATTTCTACTTATCGGGTATCAAAGACTTTTAACGTTCTTTCAAATTACTGAGCTTATTTCTACCCTTTCCAATAGTCTCATTCAGCATTTTCAAGATGTTGAGTTTTTGGAACTCCAAAGATAAACCTAGGTACTACTATACCTCTAAGCGAATCTCAAAAAATCTTTTTAATTTAAACACTTCCCAGGAATAATATTGTTTAAAAAGAATTTTGGCCCTTTTTGCACGCAAAGTTAGATCAAGGTGATAACAGAAGAATCTAAATTATTTTTAGTTCATAAGTAGAGAAATACATATC